CTCTCCTCTCTATGGTTTTTTATACAAATATATATATATATATATATATATATATATATATATATATAACTAGACAAACCTTACGGTTGTACGGCAGTGAAGCATCATTGGCAACACTGATGTTGCTGTCTTTGATGATGATGATGAATCCCTAAATAATCTAATGAAGTTTTACAGAATTGCTATTCCAAATACCTATTGGTTCCCTCAGTGTTTTCGGTGGTTTCTATCTTTTTGGGCTATGTACCGTACGGTTGTATTTCATTTGTTTATTTTATCTCGCTCCAGTTTTCAACAGTTTGTCTCCAGATGAACCAAATATTTTAACACTTTTCGTGAATGCTATGTCTGATATCAAGATGAGCAAGACTTCAGATCGCTACATATTCACCCGAGACTACTTGACCGTCAAAGGTAAGTCAGTCGCAGTTCATCTTCATATGTTCAGTCTGGGATATGAATATGCCAACGGCTCCAGTGGAAGTTCACCCTGTCCAGGTTAAATTACAAAATCAGCTGAGCATATTATATGAATCGGAACTGCTTTGTGATGATTTCAAATTGTCCATATCGTCGGATGATAGGTGAGTTTGTTTGTCAAAATATCTTCACGGCTTTTATCTACTATTAATATGTGCTCTTTTTCGCCCGGGAACTTTTTGCAGATTATACATATGGCTCTAGAATATGAAACGGATCTGCCGGTCAATAGTATTGATCTACTGAATGCCTGTGCGGAGTAGACCTTGGTGCTGCATGCAAGTAGCTACTGCCGATGTAAGCCCGAGAGAATAGGATCGGTGTACAACAGAGGCTTGTTGGGTTTCATCAGTCGGCCCAAGCATAACAGCATGGCAGTGAGCACCAGCGGTAGTTCTTTTCCACCAAGGCGCTGGTCCCATGTATCAGTTATTCCAGGTGACTAAATGCCATACTAATCCCAAACCAAATGCCGACTTGGAAAGTCTTGTTCATGTTTGAGTCCTACACCACTGTTGTTGAAGTAGAGCAAAATGGCGAGATGGCTCAGTGGTTAGGGCATGAATTTACAGACCGAAAGGTCTGTTGTTCGACCTCTGCATCTCGACTTCCTCTTTCTAGGCTTGGCCCGTCTGTCATTATCCCAACTCTCGCGCCTCCTGTTGGTGTGACATCTAGGCACCGAAAGGGTGCTACAACTGGACGATTTTTTTCCACGTACCATTTATCGATAGTTTTACTCTTCCCCTTTTTAAATTAGTGTCAGTTTTCCCCTGGAGGTTTCATTTCCGTAGTCATGACAGTGTCGAACAGGAAGCTCACCAGAATCCTGTACGGTTGTCGGTGATTCATCAAACCAAATTCCTTCATTGAGTCAGTCTTCTATGGGACCTAGATTTCTGCCGTCCAGCTATGTAACGTCTTTGGAAAGGTAAAATAAACAATGAGTATGTCACGCGACGAACTCAAGCTACAATCATAGCGGATAGTATTACTTTCATAGTTTCATGGGGGATTTTGCCTGACATGTCCCTCCGTCTGACGATGAACGCAACTTAGCAAACTCATATTTATTTCACTCATATATCCATCACCCTACTGAGTCGCTTGGTTTTGGCAGACTGTCAGCTCAATAACTATTCATTATGCCGTAAGGTGTGCCGACTTTAGCCTGCATTGGAGAAACTGATACAAGCTAGCTGCGTTCCTGGAGTAATTTGACAGCCACACGTTCTTCCACAGACATTCAGGAGCGAGGTAGGGGGTGACAAGAGTGGTACACATGTTGAGACGAGTCTAATGATAAGCTGTCAACACCTAGGAGTATTAAGTGACACACTGTACTCATGTGTTTTGGGGTTGTTGGGTAACTAATAAAATAATAATCGCACAGCTGTAACACCCTTCCGGTGTCCAGCTTCCATGCCACTCGCATGAAGCATTAGGACTAAGATATGCCAGGGGCGAGATGGCCCAACTGGTTAGAGCGCGAATTTACTGGCCGGCAGGTCCGTGGTTCGAACCCGATCTCTGCCTCTCGACTTCTGTCTATGCTTGGGCAACCTGGCAGCATCCCAGCCCTCGTGCAACCTTCGGGTGGCATGGCAGTTAAACACCGAAAGGATGCCACAGCTGAACGATTTCTCATGCCAGTTTTCCCAAGCGTAGATAGGACCATTTGAGATATCGGGGTTAGACTCGAACCGTGGATCTTTTGGTCAGTAAATTCGCGCCCTAACCATTGAGCTGTCTCGGTTTCTAGGTCAACCCATCGCATTGTGTTGTCATCCACATTCTGCCAAGCACTCGTGTATGGATTGCTTAGAGCTGCTCATGGGTTGCAGCTTTCATTTTTTGTTTCTCCTGTTGGACTCACGAACCTTTCAAGCCAGTTTACATTGTGAATTCGCTTATTGTCCAGCAGTATACTACACACTCTAACGCTGTCTTTCATCTCCCCTTTCCGTCAGGTTCATTGTATCCGGTTCTTACAACAGGTTGGTCAAAGTATTCGATCGTCAGTCACTTGAACATCGAGAATACAGCCTAGTTATGCAGAAAGAGGATCCAAACCCCTTTGTAGATCCCTTCCGTTCCCAAGTAGATCCAAGTCCTTATACAATCTCCATGAGTGATTCCGCCGAATCACCTTGGCCGCGTCGCATTGTGGAGGACAAAACTGAGGCAGCTGGAAATTTATTGGGATCAGACTTCTCTCCAGAGTTCGCGCGATTCGGCCTGGACGGTGGATGCAAATGGCTCCAAGTTAGTTGGCGACCTGGGTCCTATGTAGTCGCAGTTAGTCACAATGATGGGATACACTTATTAGAGGCTTTATGCTAGCACGTCTTTCCTGCTCAAGCAACTTCTTGTCAAGAGTGGGCTTTGGCCTTCGCGCTCATTCCTAGGGATCATGTTCTGGTTGTCTTTTTCTTTCTTTCTTTCTTGACTTATCGTCTTTTTTATGGTGGACCCGAACACCGACTTCCATTAATTTGTATTTGCGGTTGAACCACTGATGATGGTCCCACCCCGGCCCTACTGAGTGCCAAATAAAACTGATTTCACTATCCTTGTCGTTCTGTTCTACTGTTCACCATCATCTTTCCCCACACCACGCTCGTTCGTCGTACTTCTTCAGGATTTGACCTTCGTTTGCTTGTTCCCTTGCAACATCTGTGTTGACGACCTTCTCGATACGGTTACCATTCCTCCTCCTCCTGCTCTAATTAAGTCGGACCAACTCTGCGATTCTAAAATTGATTTTTCTACCCGTTCGAAAAAACATGCAGCTGTATTCTCGTTAGATTCTCCTTTTGTATAACTGGAATATGTCGCATTTTATTTTTTCATTGAAATATATCTAAAACGTTCAACGTTATTTCGCCGCGATTGAATGTTTCTCTCACTAGAGCATGTGATCGGCCATTTATGTTTGATGTTACAGTGAAGGGAACCTAGTATGCCCTTGTTCCAGGAATTCAGATGGTTTCTCAGTGCAGTAGGCTGTTCATTACAGCTTCGATAACGTAAGACAAATTCAAGGATGCTTGCAATAGAGGAAGAATGCTCTATAAAGCAGCGAGGCTATTTTCGCGCCAATGCACATTTTTTCAACGATTAATTGCTTCAGCTACCCGATGGCTGCCAGCAAGCCATCATTGATCACCTGAAGAACTATTTGTCCCTTCCACAATGCAAGCCTTCCTTTCCCAGAGACCTGGAAGAATCTATAACACAAAATATCAGCGCCTCTGAACCCGAAGTCAGTCAGGTGACCACTGTTTTGTTCATGAGTCATTTCCGCGGCCTGCTTCGCGGATTTCCAAAAGGAAAGTTTCAAGTATGAACCGCATTGATAACTTCATTCGGAGCATTTAAAAAGGTTAACGTTTCATCGGTGTGGGTACAGCTGGTCAAGGACTGTAACGTTTGAAATAGAAATCCCTTGCGCTGATTCTTGAACATTACGTGAACGGGTTCGTACAAGGGCTTATGGGAGATCAGGTTTTCAGTTGGCCACCGACCCAACTATTGGCTGTACTGCCCCTAAAAGATTCCATATTATTCATCGAACCTTCGCATGATCCTCTGACGAGAGGTAAGCTCTGCCGTTCCTCCAAACAGCCTCCGGCTGTTTTAGGTGTTAGACTGACGAACTCCCACCCGATGGACAGAACCTTGTTCATCCACTAGTTCCAATCCGATCGCTGTCCACGCGTGTTCACGCTTGCACTCTTCAGGTTTTGTTGAGGAACTTTTGACTTTCTGTCTGCCATGTGACTACCGGGCTACTCGCGATTAGTCGGATAGCAAAAGCTCCATTAGCCGGTCACTCGTCCGACTAAAGACTGAGGTTTTACTTCGGACGTAATTTCTGCGTTGAAGCCTAAATGAGCGATTCAAAAACAAAGTCTTTTATTGAAGGGGGTGCCGTTAGTGAAACGAACTGCCGTACCAATTTCTCATCTGTGGTTAAGATTTTCGCACCTAGGGTTGTTCTGAAACCGGCAAAGTACGTTACGAAGAACAAGCATTTTGCTCTGTTACAGATGTCCACTCGCTTTTTGTGACTGTTGTCCTATTTGTATCCACCCGTTTGTCAATCGTCGATATCGTTCAGCTGTAACACCCTTCTGATACCTAGCTTCCATTTCGCCCGAAGGAATCACGAGGATTGAGATACTGCGAGGGCGTCCAAGCTTAGATAGGGGTAGTCTACATGTTAGAGTTGGGTTCGAACCACGGACTCTCTGGTCAGTCACTTTGCGCCTTAATCACTGAGCTGTGTCGAGCCGTCGGTCTTCGGTGTTCTTCATTTTTGTTTTCTTGCGTCGATGTTATGACGAATGTTTCTTCTTCTCTATAAGCACAATAGCCGTACAGGAAAGTTCACTTTCCCTCGACTAATCAGCGGGTCACTCTCCACAGTTTACCCTGGTTTGGCCACGCATTTCATATACCAGAGCACCATTTGCCTCATAGAGGCCTCTTCACCAAGCCGTGTATCGGATATAGACGATACCAGCGCGGCCTATCCATGACATGGCTACGAAGCATGAAATTCGTTACCAGTTATCTCAGTGGGACTGGTAACTGCTCTCTGGCCGGATGGAGACTGCGGCACGAGACAATCTATGGGTTACTGACCCTAACAGAGATAGGTGTGCCACACAGTCAACGGTGCTCTCATTGTGTATCTCTCACCTCCTGCCGTACTAGTTAATACACGGATTGGGCCATCGCCTCCAGCGCGTGATCCTCATTCTCTTACTCTCTAAATCATCGGCGAACGAAGTAATATTGGCTGGGAGCTATGCACTTCGCTGCACGGACTCAACTGAACTAACTGCGTGGACGACGCTTCGCAATGATTGTCGTTGCGCATTTTTGCATCTTACTGCGTTAGTTTTGTTGTAGTCAGCCAGCATCTCAGTCCTCATGCTTCCTTCGGGTGGCATGACAGCCAGGCATCGGTTGTTACAGCTGAACGGTTATCATTTTTTACACTAAACTAAAAAGTGATACAGTTCAGTAACTAAAGCCTAGCCACAGTGTCATTCACTAAAGCCTCCAGAAAGCATGGTTTTGGTCTTTCCGATTTACCACTTTTCAGTAACTTCAACTTCAGTAACTTTAACACGATTTTACTTGGCTCATTGTCATTTACCATTCCTCCTCCTCCTGCTCTAATTAAGTCGGACCAACTCTGCGATTCTAAAATTGATTTTTCTACCCGTTCGAAAAAACATGCAGCTGTATTCTCGTTAGATTCTCCTTTTGTATAACTGGAATATGTCGCATTTTATTTTTTCATTGAAATATATCTAAAACGTTCAACGTTATTTCGCCGCGATTGAATGTTTCTCTCACTAGAGCATGTGATCGGCCATTTATGTTTGATGTTACAGTGAAGGGAACCTAGTATGCCCTTGTTCCAGGATTTCAGATGGTTTCTCAGTACAGTGGGCTGTTCATTACAGTTTCGATAACGTAAGACAAATTCAAGGATGCTTGCAATAGAGGAAGAATGCTCTATAAAGCAGCGAGGCTATTTTCGCGCCAATGCACATTTTTTCAACGATTAATTGCTTCAGCTACCCGATGGCTGCCAGCAAGCCATCATTGATCACCTGAAGAACTATTTGTCCCTTCCACAATGCAAGCCTTCCTTTCCCAGAGACCTGGAAGAATCTATAACACAAAATATCAGCGCCTCTGAACCCGAAGTCAGTCAGGTGACCACTGTTTTGTTCATGAGTCATTTCCGTGGCCTACTTCGCGGATTTCCAAAAGGAAACTTTGAAGTATGAACCGCATTGATAACCTCATTCGGAGCATTTAAAAAGGTTGACGTTTCATCGGTGTGGGTACAGCTGGTCAAGGACTGTAACGTTTGAAATAGAAATCCCTTGCGCTGATTCTTGAACATTACGTGAACGGGTTCGTACAAGGGCTTATGGGAGATCAGGTTTTCAGTTGGCCACCGACCCAACTATTGGCTGTACTGCCCCTAAAAGATTCCATATTATTCATCGAACCTTCGCATGATCCTCTGACGAGAGGTAAGCTCTGCCGTTCCTCCAAACAGCCTCCGGCTGTTTTAGGTGTTAGACTGACGAACTCCCACCCGATGGACAGAACCTTGTTCATCCACTAGTTCCAATCCGATCGCTGTCCACGCGTGTTCACGCTTGCACTCTTCAGGTTTTGTTGAGGAACTTTTGACTTTCTGTCTGCCATGTGACTACCGGGCTACTCGCGATTAGTCGGATAGCAAAAGCTCCATTAGCCGGTCACTCGTCCGACTAAAGACTGAGGTTTTACTTCGGACGTAATTTCTGCGTTGAAGCCTAAATGAGCGATTCAAAAACAAAGTCTTTTATTGAAGGGGGTGCCGTTAGTGAAACGAACTGCCGTACCAATTTCTCATCTGTGGTTAAGATTTTCGCACCTAGGGTTGTTCTGAAACCGGCAAAGTACGTTACGAAGAACAAGCATTTTGCTCTGTTACAGATGTCCACTCGCTTTTTGTGACTGTTGTCCTATTTGTATCCACCCGTTTGTCAATCGTCGATATCGTTCAGCTGTAACACCCTTCTGATACCTAGCTTCCATTTCGCCCGAAGGAATCACGAGGATTGAGATACTGCGAGGGCGTCCAAGCTTAGATAGGGGTAGTCTACATGTTAGAGTTGGGTTCGAACCACGGACTCTCTGGTCAGTCACTTTGCGCCTTAATCACTGAGCTGTGTCGAGCCGTCGGTCTTCGGTGTTCTTCATTTTTGTTTTCTTGCGTCGATGTTATGACGAATGTTTCTTCTTCTCTATAAGCACAATAGCCGTACAGGAAAGTTCACTTTCCCTCGACTAATCAGCGGGTCACTCTCCACAGTTTACCCTGGTTTGGCCACGCATTTCATATACCAGAGCACCATTTGCCTCATAGAGGCCTCTTCACCAAGCCGTGTATCGGATATAGACGATACCAGCGCGGCCTATCCATGACATGGCTACGAAGCATGAAATTCGTTACCAGTTATCTCAGTGGGACTGGTAACTGCTCTCTGGCCGGATGGAGACTGCGGCACGAGACAATCTATGGGTTACTGACCCTAACAGAGATAGGTGTGCCACACAGTCAACGGTGCTCTCATTGTGTATCTCTCACCTCCTGCCGTACTAGTTAATACACGGATTGGGCCATCGCCTCCAGCGCGTGATCCTCATTCTCTTACTCTCTAAATCATCGGCGAACGAAGTAATATTGGCTGGGAGCTATGCACTTCGCTGCACGGACTCAACTGAACTAACTGCGTGGACGACGCTTCGCAATGATTGTC